AGAGAGAGAGAGAGAGAGAGAGAGAGAGAGAGAGAGAGAGAGAGAGAGAGAGAGAGAGAGAGAGAGAGAGAGATGTACAATACCACACATATGCTCCCACCACGATTTGTTACTGCACATCGAGACGGGCAGTCAATCTAAACATCTCACGTCTATTAAAAATTTGAGGTGAAAAAAAAAAAATACATAAATGGAAAAACGATGTAGAAGTGGTGCCTACGGAGAGTAATACGAATTCTGTTGAAACAAAACAACGAACCAAGTCAATTACATAATTTCGTTCAACAAGGCAGAGGTGAAGTTGTAATCATATCACTGGATTCTCCCCCTCCAATTGCACCCCTCCCGCCTCACCCACCCTCACCCTTTTAATCAATATCAGCGGTTAAGGTGTCGAGGTTACGAGAACGGTGCATTCCCTCCACATCCCCTCCCTTCCCGCCATCCCCATCGGCCCCTCCCTGTGGTGTCAGCGGTGATTGTGCATCACCTTTGCCAGTGCATAAAGACGGTTGCAACTGACTCTCCGCCACGCTCGTCCCAACATCAGACTCTGACTCGATCTCGGATCTGCCTTGCATTGCAGCATTTGTTATCAATTAACTCCCGTACGTTGCACCTGCATCCGGCGGCAACGTCGTTGACACATCGATGCGTGGGGACGATTGTGCCGTGGCGACCGAGATGGATTTTTCCGATATTTGCGGCTTAGACGTGATGTCCACCTCTTGAGGCCCGACAACAGTAGTCCCGTCATCTCCCCTGTGCCCTGCTTGCGCGGCCACAGAGGCCGGCTCAGCCGAAGGCATGAAAGCATGAGAGCAGCTCCCCTCCAAGGTTCTGGCGGTTTGATCAACCTTCCAGTTGATTGACCCGCGTCAGGGACTCAAGCGCAGGGCATAAAATTTGTTGCTGTACTCCAGTTGCCGATTGTCGCGCAAGACATGAAACAATTCTTCGGCCTTGGCTTTGATGGCGGCCTCGTTCTGCCCTGGATTCTCGACGCGCACGCAATGCAGGATCGCGAGTTCCGTCGTTTTCAAGCAGATGTCCTTTGACATCCGGCGAAAAGTCTTCCAACCGCTTGTGTATTTCACAACCATCTTCCACTCCCCATCTTGGATGCACCGCTGTAAAACGCCCTCATGCCATATGATGTCATGGCCCCACTAATCCTCGCCTGTGTGGGTGTGTTTGCCCTCCAAGAAATATATCGTGTCCGGGTCAGCACAGTAGCCTGAAGGAATTGCATCGCCTCGTGTGAGCGTTGACGCCTCGCCTGGTATCTCAATGTCATCTTCTTCATTGCCACCGCATCTTCCAATGTCTTGCAATGCAGCACTCTCCGACGGGGCCATCATTGAGGCGACGCTTGGGGCGGCCATCGGGATGGACCCTCCGTGCGAATGGACAATTCCGTCCACGTGAGCTTCCACCATTCCACCGCGCGGAACCTCAGCACATGTGTCCTCGCCCAGTTCGAGGTCGGAGTCCGAAGAATCTTCCTCGCTGTCGACGGGGTTAAAGTCATCGCCCGATTTCGCGAGCTCCTCGTAGTCCTTGGACGTCAATTTGTCTTTGCGAAGATCGAACTTGAGGATCTCGCATCGAGCAACAAAAGTCTCAAAGGCGCTAGTGAGAGCACCGTGATAATGTTTGAGGGTCTCTGTTGCCTTTGCTTTCCTGTATATATATTTCCCGTCAAGCCGTCCTTGTGGCATATCGCGGAACAGGTACTCCCACACCTTCAGTCTCTTAGGCCCCAACTTGTGGAACATGTCCCTGTTCGGGCGATGTTTGCAACGCGGTTTTTCGACGTGGCAGTTGAATCTATCGTCCTTGACAAGTATATCGATGAACTTTGTCAAGTATGCAATGTCCTTTGCCGACTCGTCACAGGCAATGACATTATTCCCTGCCAGTAAGAATTCCCACACAAGACCCGCGTGCGCCCTACCCAATAAAAGCACACCTTCCGCCTCCCCGACAAATGACCCACACAACGAACGCAACTTGCTAGGCTCTCGCTCCCAGATGGAATACACCACACTTTCATCGCCCTCTATGCCGCCGTGTTTCCCCAGACACTTCCCGAACTTGTCCTCCACAACATGCACGTTTGTGAGGTCATTGACAAGACGGGGTGCGACCGTGACCTTTCTGAGATCCCCTCCCTCCGCGTGCAGGACAATGGTCATCATGTCTCGACTCGCCGTAGCGATATTGTCATACCTCGTGATGTCATTCGATGGCCAGTCCACCCGTTTCCAGGTACCGAGGATGAGTTCGATGTCCTCCCACTGGAATAAGCAACGCAGAACATCACTTTGCACCATCTGCGGTGCAAAGACAAAAAGAACCCGATTAACGCCACAACACTTAGTCATCATAGAGTGCAGAGCGTCGAACTCTTGAGAGGTCCATCAGGATGACGGCCCTCCAAGCGGGGGAGATGTCAAGGATGACGGCCCTGCAGGTCATTTTTTGCGCCGCAGCGACGATGTCGTCTGGCGCAGCCAGCACTTGCTTCAATGGCATGCACACCGGTAGCAATATTGTTTGTTTTTTAAGTTTATCCCACATGATATGACGTGCGCTGGAGGCGACCCGTTTGACCTCCGCCCGAAGCAGATCGAGCTTATCGATTGAGGTGTATACAAACACCTTAAAGTGGAACGGAGCCTCCTTATACATTGCCGCCGTAGGGCCCAAGCCTGATCCTTGCCTTGCCTTCTCCACCCCTCCAAGCCGTCGAGGGACCGTCTCCACTTTGATGACATGCAGCTTGTCCCGTTCCTTCTCCCATTCAGCTGCACACAGACCGTTCGACCCATACGTGTCTTCGAGGTTCTTGTATGACATGAAGAAGGCATCATTCCACTCATCGTCCGCCCTTCCCTCGGCGCGAAAAACAACGTAATTGAACATACGGACCATGTATCGTTCCTTGCGCATGATGTCGAGAAGGCACTCCGTATTCACTCTCGGAGGCATGACCTTGACGTTCGTTGCGACCACCTTCCCTTTCAAGGGGAGGAGCAGTGGAACTTCCCTCTCGCGGCACGTCAAATCCCCAAAATTTTTGAAGTAGGAAGGACAGAGATCCTTCCACGACACGGTGGAGCCTTTGGGACCATCTCTCGCGTATATGCAATGGTATAATGTTCTTTGCCCCTTCGTCTCGTCGGTGTACGGTCCTGGCTGGCGCCCCTCCATGCTACCCGGCATGTCAAGTGGTATTTTACCATCGCCAACTGGCAGCTTCCCCTCGTTGAACATCTCGAAGAACATCTCGACCAGTGGCCACACAGCCTCGGTGGATGTGGCGAGGTTCATGTAGCCACGGAGTTTATTGCTCCAATCCTTACTGTACTCATTCTCGAGCGCTTGCCTCACGAACGCCTTGTCGCATGCCTTCCTCATGGAGGCCTTTAAGAAATTATGCCACTTCTTTTGGTGCGCAATGGCGACCACATCCTTATCGCTGACCTTGCCTTTCGAGGCCTCGATTCGATGGTTATCGATCCACCATTGCCTCATATCACAGACAGCATCCTCGAAAGACAACATCATGGCCCGATTTTCGCGTGTGTTGTCGAAGGCGGAGACATTGAAATACCCTAGCGTCTGCTCATCTCCAAAATAGACGACCCGCACCTTAGAGTACGCGCGAAGGCCATGGACGTCGACTGCCGGAGAGCCTTTTTTTACCAATGTCTCCATGGCCTCGACCGTATGCTGACCACAGACAGCATACCAATCAAACTCCGAGGAGTCTCTTTCGAAGAATTCGGTCGGTGTTATTCGCCTACCCTGCCCGCCAACGCTATCGTTGAGGTCAACCGATGCAAGCACGAGCTCAGGCCTATCCCACGCCCCCGGTTCTGTGGTGATGGAACTCTCAATGGCATTCACGATGCCTCGCATCATGTTCGCAGACAAAGAGCGGTGGTTGAAAAGAATATTCCCGCGGGGAATGCGTTTGATTTTCATGACGTCCACAAGAACAGGAAGGACTTTTTGCTTAGCAAAACCCCGCTCGTCGTACTCGAGGAAGAAACAACGCGTCGTGTCGATGGGTGCAACGTGCTGAAGCAGCTCATCATCATCGTCGGGCATGTGAGGGCCCACTCCCTCGCCCTCATCCCCTGAGTCCCGCAGTTCTTCTGCCCTCACTATCTGCTTACCTTTTCTTGCGCCACCACGGCCGCCGCCACGACCGCCACATCTTCCCCCTTGGCTGCTCTTCCGAGAATGTCTCGCCTCTTGGGATGCCACCAGAGCTCCACGAGCCTCATTAACAGCGTCAATCCTCGCTTGTCTCTTGTGAGCGGAAGCAGAAGGAGAAGTTTCTCTTGTCCTTTTTCTCAACTTTGATCCTCCGTGCTCCTGCGAGTCATGCCCACCCTGACTCCCTCCTTGCGAATGCCATATCGCAGGGGACGACAAGGGCCGACCAACAGCCGCTCCTACAGAACCGGCGGGGATGTCGCCAGGGCCATGCTCCGACGTGACACCGACGTCGTCATCGCCAAGCATGTTTTGGTCCTGCATGTTCTCATCCCCAACGTCCATATTCTCGTCATCACCGTCGTCTTCACGTGGACCGCAGCTTCCCCCATCTTCTTCCTCCTCGTTTCGCTCAGTGAGGGCAGTCGCACCTTCCTGGGCACTGTCACACGCAGTATTGCGTCCGTACAGATTTTTCTCATCGTACTCCGTAGCCTCGCTGGAACATTGAGTGTTATCATGACCTCCCCTCACCGTGGGCAAGGGCGAGGGAGACGCCGCTGGCAAAGGCGGAGCTGGACAAGCAACCAACTGTTTCCTCTTCCCAACCGGCGCGGATGGCGTCTGTCGCGATTTCCTCGAGTTCGTGACAAAGGGCACGAAAGCGCAGTCGGCTTGCTGGTCCAGAGGCAGCCTTGAGAAGGCTTCCCTGTACTCCTTAACAACGCCTGGCAGTTGGTCCGCCGGGCTGCTGAATTTCACCAAGGGTTTGGTGAGCTCCAAGGAACTTTTAACGACAGGAAGGCAGCCAGTGACGCGGTAACCGTTCGTTCTATTGAGGAACTGTTCCACAGTCAGCATGTGAAGCTCGGTGTCGTCCCCGCACACGTCAAACGCTTTCATGGAGAAAGCCTTGATGCCGTAGCCTTGAAAGAGCCGCAAGTCAAGGCCAACCTTCTTGTCTTCCTTGACCCAATTTGTCCCATCCTTGTCGAAAACTGACGTAAGAAAGAACGTTGTCAGGCGGCCACAAGCAGTGCGCCGCCTGAAATCTACGGTTTTGGGACTTAGGCGCGGAGAGGAGTCTGAGTTTTGACGGAACTCTGGTTAGACCAGGCAACAAAAATTAGGGGAACTCAGGGCACCCCTGATTCTGGGCGCAGTGAGCCTTACGGGTAACCCTGAAAGATGGCGAGATAAGTGGCCACACTCGACGCATCTAGGGACCGTCATTCCCGACCGTTTAGAGAGCAAGACTCGGATTGACCTGCCGCGGAGAGGCATCGCGGGAACTGACTTCGCCGCAACGTTTTGCGGCATACGGCCGGGGCCGAAATGAGGCCTCGAATTTTTGACTATTTTTTGTACCTAAACTAAGGATGGGAGAAAAGATTGGGAACAGTAGGAGGGAAGAGAAAAACGTAATATCCCTTAGTTCCCTTATTTTTCCCGGCATTTAAATTTTGGGGAAAATACCTCGTTATTTTATGTTTCCGGCAATGAAATAGAAAACCAGAGAAAAAGATTAAAAATGGTAAGGGAGAGAAGAAAAGAGAGAATTTCAACCATTTGATTAAACTCCCTCAGAATTCATTTTTCGTGAACCTATGGCTAATTCACTATTTCAGACGATAGAATTAAGGGAAAGGGAGAACGATTAAAAATGATGGAACAAACAGGACCTAATGATTATTCGATGCTTGGGTCTGGTTTTGCATGGGATATCCACCGTCAGCTCAGAACCCAGATTTGATCAAATTCCCTGAGCTCTAACTTTTTTCGCTATTCCCCCGATGATCGAAACTCTCTATGACGCGTCCCCTATTTACCTGATTACTAACCTTACTGAGCCCGGCGGTACGGGCGAATGACCACCTGGATATGGACAGCGTGGGATTGTGATACATCGGACCAACAACATGATGTCAGGTTCGGTACCGGACATGTTTGAGGTTCGGCCTGAGCCGGTATCGGCGTACTTCAGGTTCGGGCACCAGGGTGATTTATTTCCAAGGTCGGCATCATCACGGCTATTTATTTCAGGATCAGCATCATCATGGCTATTTGTTTCAGGGCCGGAACCGCCACGGTGGCTTACTTTCAGGTCTGGAGCCACTATGATAATGTATTTCAGGTTCGGAACCTGGACGGCAGGTTATTCCAGGTTCGCCGCTATCACGGGTATTTAACTCAGGCTCAGCACCGACGTCCTCAGGTACGGCATGGGCACGACATCGGCACGGAACCTAACGTTGGTTGAGGCGGCTCCGGTCCGCTGAGCCTTAAAAATGACTAATTTTGGATATATCCACCAGTCTAACTTCGATGTGGTGACGGTATAGACGACCGCAGCCTGCGACCCATGCTCCAGGTTCGGAACTGCTGGTGACCTGAATAATGCATTTGGGATGCTGAGACCGAACCTGGTAATTCTGAGGTGCGATGCTGTTTTTTTTTTTTGGGGGGGGCCCTAAGGGTTGTGAATCCGTTTTCTCTGCGGGCCGTTCGTACCGACTGGGCCCCCTCTGAGCTCGGCCATTGGGACTGGGTTTTCCAGCAGTCCATGGCCAGGGACTGTAGTCCTCTTATAGCCTGGGTGCTGGGCCTGGTACCGGGGGGTACAGAGAGTGCGAGCCCTCAGCAATGAACAGGAACCGCTGAGGACCAGGGTTGACCTTGTGGGGGCTGCGTTCAAGACGGGATATAGGGCCAGACCACGGGAGAACAAAAGAAGGGAGGCGGACTGGGCAGTCGGGGGAGTGCGCCAGGTGTACGCAACCCACTTTAGAAGTTCGCCTCAAGCATGGTGGATGGGGGCGGCAGTGAAGGGCATTCAGGGAGCTAGGTGTACGCCGCACAAGCGCAGTGCGTTTGGTCGGGTCAGCAGGCGGCGGAGAGGGGTGCACTCCGAGAGGGGGGACGGGACATTGCGCCCAGCGTCCGCTGCCCATGCGCAAAAGTCACGGATAGCAGAGGAAGCACGTTTTCCGAAGCGGAATGGATGAGGGGGAGAGACTGGACGTGCCTGGCGTACGTAGCCCGCTGGCATAGGGGTGAGAAGGGAGAAAGAGAGTGCGCTGCCAGATATAGAATGCTCTGGCAGAAAGAGAGTGTGTAATCAGAAAGGGAGAACGCACAGGTAGGCAGACA